GTCGAAGTAAGATAAAACTCCAACAGGGTAAGATAATTATGAGTGGATATACCTGACTCAGAAGAAAACTTAACAGCACCAAATTCATCAATGCTACTTCCAACACATTTTAGCATTTGTGGATGGGGGAGAGAATAGTACAGGTCTGTCACGTCAATTGAGAAGGCTTTTAGTTTTCATTTTCATGCGCTTCCACGATCCTTAAAATACTATCGGAACTCTGGACTAAAAACGGATCTCGGACTTCGAGAAGATTGAGTTTGTCTTACAAGAAAGCAGCGAGTTCTTTCTGCCAAGTACCTATTTCCGAGACTATTACTCGAAAAAGAGTGTTAACTTTGTGAGTTTTTGCATTAAAAGTACATCGAGGCTATTCTTCTTACTTTTTTGAATACTCTTTAGAGTTCGACCTACGTTCATGTTTTTGCTCAATTGGATAGCCTTTGCTTTTACTTTGTTCAACGATACGCCATCTTTTATATGGAACACCCTAAAGATAGCATCATTAGCTTTTTCCAAGAAGCATGAACGCGAAAAAGCTGCGAAGCCACCTTGCCTATCTCCCTGCAAAACACACAGTGAATTATTGTCCAGGTACGACAAAGCACGCTTAGGAGGAATGTGAGAACACACAGGTTTACAATGCGGAATGGCGTCTACTCCTTCAGAGGTAATTCTTTCTTCCTCACCTTCAGACGCACGACGTGCCACCTGAGGAACGCAGTCAGGAGTTCAGGATTTGTCCTCTCTCTTTGAAGCCCGAACTTCGGCCCCAACTCTAGGACTTGATTGACGTCATCAGGAAGCTGGAGGCCTTTAGGTACATGAACTTTTCCCTTGGTCATTCGTCGAACACTGGTGACCCGCTAACGAAGATAGTGCAGCTGAGGCATCCAAAGAGCTTCGGTAGCTTGCCCAGCCAATTGCAGGTACCTTTTCAGCAGAGATCCAGCGACAGATGAAGCAAAGGAAGTATGAAGACATGCACGAAGACGAATTCTGTGCAAGCGAAAGTAACGATACAATTCAGCTAGTAAAATCTTGAGAATCCTCTTTGTATGGCCACAGGAAGGCGAAAAGTCCCCGCAAAGTGCGAGAACTTCATCCGGAATAATACCTTTGCGGATGCGGAAACTGAGCGTACGCGCCCTGCACGTTGCGTTGACGATGAAGCCTACAATACAGCTTGGGTCTTGAAGAACAAAGAAAAAGTAGCCCCTTGTACGAGAACTGTAGTCGACAAGAGTGGCGATGTGGCCTTGTTGGTGAAACATTTGAAAGGAATTTATGTAGCGCGAGGCGAAAAAACGAACACAGGAAAGAATAGACTGAGAGGACAGAGCGCTACTAGCAACAACATGTTTATTTTCGACCTCCAAGCCGTTTTTAAGCCATAATCGTCAGGTGAGCAAGCAGATAAGCAAATGTATTCAGATAAATGCACAACGATGTCATCTACCTACAAGAAAAAACGATAAATAGGACAACAAAAAACCACACAGATAAAATCACGTATCACTGCGTACGTAGGAACGCCAGCTCCTTGGGTGACAAGGCAATTGAAGGCTTGCTAATACATACATCTCCAAGAGCATCAATGAGTTCGGCTTCTATGATGAACCGAGTCATCTCATCCTTATGCTGACCAACAATGATTGTACTTTGGAACAAAGGCCGGCACCCACACGCGTGAATGTGAAGAGCGAAAAAATCTTCTGGCGGCAGTTTATCCGTCTTGTAATTGTGTTCTCTCAAGCGCTCATACACACACCTACTGGTTTGGCCGACGTATTTTTTCCCACATGTGAACAGAATGAGATAAATGACGAACGAAATGCACTCCACAAGTTTGTGTGTATGCCTTTTTGTGCACAACACCCTCTCCCCACACGACAGATTCGTCAGCACACATAACTTCCCAAGTTTATCACGTAATGAAAATAGCCCCTGATATTGTCCCGAAGTGCCACTTTCTTAAGGTTATGTGACAGCTGGTGAACATATAGAATTATGGCCGTGCGTCTTGATTTTGCCGGTAAATCGACATGAACATTAGATTGGCTTGACCTTGCACGAATCCTTTTCAACTATTTTTCCGCAACTGAAACTAAAACATGATCAGGATAGCCCGATCCTTGCAAATGTGTGATCTGATTATGGAAGCTCTGCTTCATAAGGTGCGCACATGACTTGTTCAATGCGTTTTTGAGGCAAGTCGTCGCGATGGCTCTCTTGGTTAGTTTGGAATGACCGGAATGAAATGGGAGTAAAGGTTTCTGAGCACGCGGATCGAAGTCCGAGATACGTTCTTAGTCGAGAGTTCTGATAGTATTTTAAGGTTCATGGAAGCGCATGAAAATGAAGGGCTAAAAGCCTTCTCAATTGACATGACAGACCTGTACTATTCCCTCCCCCATCCACAAATGCTAAAATATGTTGGAAGTAGCATTATTGGATTTGGTGCTGTTTTCTTCTGAGTCAGGTATAACCGTTGATAAATTTCTTACCCTGTTGGAATTTTATCTTACTTCGACGTTCATTACATGGAACAATGATATTTTTTTGCAAAAGCAGGTTATATGTATAGGCTCTTGCATCGCGCCTGTCTTGAGCAATCTGTTTCTGGCAGAACTTGATAGAATTGTGGCATATCGTCTCGCAGAGATGACGGCTAAGAAAGTGTCCCGATATGTAGATGATTTTATTATTTTCATTAACAGCTCGGGGGAAAGTTTCCAAAGTAAGAGTACTAGTGTGTTGAATGTGTTTTGTGATGGTCTTAAGCCCCTCGAAGTCACAGTAGAATGGCCTAGTGACGGACGAATAAGGTATTTAGATTTAAGTGTTTAGTGTTCTGACAACCAGCTATGCTGGTGCTATGATCCGCGTCCTCAGAAAGCTTTACTCCCATTTCATTCCGGTCATTCCAAACTAAGTAAGAGAGCCATCACGACGACTTGCCTCAAAAACGCTTTGAACAAGTCATGTGCGCACCTTACGAAGCAGAGCTTCCAGAATCAGATCACACGTTTGCAAGGATCGGGCTATCCGGATCTTATTTAGTTTCAGTTGCGGAAAAAGAGTTGAAAAGGATTCGTGCAAGGTCAATCCAATCTAATGTTCATGTCGATTCACTGGGAAAATCAAGACGCACAGCCATAGTTCCATATGTTCACCAGCTGTCACATAACTTTAAGAAAGTGGCACTTCGGGACAATATTAGGGTGCTATTTTCAGTACGTGATAAACTTGGGAAGTTGTGTGTGCTGACGAATCCGTCACGTCGGGAAAGGGTGTTGTGCACAAAAAGACATACACACAAATTTGTGGAGTGCATTTCGTTCGTCATTTATCTTATTCCGTTCACATGTGGGAAAAAATATGTCGGCAAAATCAGTAGGTGTGTGAATGAGCGATTGAGAGAACACAGTTACAAGGTGGATAAACTGCCGCCAGAAGGTTTTCTCGCTCTTCACATTTACGCGTAGGATGCTGGCCTTTGTTCCAGAGTACAATCATCATTGGTCGGCGTAAAGATGAGATGACTCGGTTGATCATAGAAGCTGAACTTATTGATGCTCTTGGAGATGTATGTACTAGCAAGCCTTCAATTGCCTTGTCACCCAAGCAACTGGCGTTCCTACGTATGCAGTGATACCTGATTTTATCTGTGTGGTTTTTTGTTGTCCTATTTATCGTTTTTTCTTGTAGGTAGATGACATCGTCGTGCATTTATCTGAATACACGTGTTTATCTGCTAGCTCACCTGACGATTATGGCTCAAAAACCGCTTGGAGGTCGAAAATAAACATGTTGTTGCTAGTAGCGCTCTGTCCTATCAGTATATTCTTTCCTGTGTTCGTTTTTTCGCCTCGCGCTAGATAAATTTCTTTCAAATGTTTCACCAACAAAGCCACATCGCCACTCTTGTTGAGGACAGAGACCCGGACAAATGATGACGATTTATAATGCATATATGAGAAAAAGCGCATAAAGAATGCCCACATAAAATATATTTAGTGTCAATTCATGACGTGTCACTCAATAAAAATATTGCAACAAAGTCACCTTTTCATCACATGCTTCACATAATGTATGTTCCTTGGTACGTGGGATCTGCAGAATTTTTTCCGCGTCTTGCGACCGTGCACTGTAAGCTTTCTGCATTGCGGGTCGCTTATTCAATGCTTTCGCATGTTGCGGTTAGACATTGCAGCGGAAGCTACCGCTCAGCATAGGCTCTAGCACGTCGGACCACTCTGTCATGTCTTTAACGGGGTTTGCCTGGCTTAAAGTTTACATCGAATGTGACGTAGGTTCAGGCGTAAAACAAATAGGAAACGCTTTGTGGACTTCATCCCGCCTAAAAAAACATTGTTTCCTAGAAAACAAATTCAAGCGCTGCTGCTCTATATCCCAGCTGCCATGAGTTGACGAGGATTTAGAGAAGTGTGTTTGAGAGAGACGAAGTCGAAAGACCTAAAAATAGTTCACATTCTCGTCTATAGTTTACCAGCCTCGCCTATATACCTTTTATTATGCTAGCTTGAAACCATCGCCGCCGCATGCAACAATGCCATATGTAAGGCATTCGACTCGAGCACAAAGGGAAGCCCAGCTGAGAAGCTTCCCTTATGAAAAAATTTAATGTACTTTTATAAACAGGCTAATGTCATTCGACATCACAATCTTAAAACTGCCTAATGTCAGTCTAATGCATTTTTCTAATGCGTACCTAATGTGAGTCTAGTAGTAATTGGCCACCGTTAGTCTATAGAGTTATGACAGAGTTTCTGATGACTATAGTCTAGCGTAAGTCTATAGAGGCCCCACATGAGAGTTTCTGCTGACCATTGGCTAGCGTTAGTCCATAGAGTCCCGACATCAGAGTTTCTGATGGCTGTTGTCTAGTGAAGTGCTATCGAGCATATGCATTAGGTTGACATCAAACGTCGCATTGTAGACTAAGGCCCTATGCAATCAACAGAACATTTGCTGAAAAGCAGAGCAATAAATCCCTTCATTATTATTATGAAAGTGTGCACACATTGCAGCATTGTAAAGGAAATACCATCAGACCATTTCCAACAACGAACAGATCATTGTTTTTTACATGTCAGAATCTTTCGTGGCCGATAAATAATGCTGCAAGTATATAATGCTTGCATTTGGAAACACGCATTACATTGTCAAGCAATTCAGTTCCGATAGGACAATAAATGGAGCTAGTTCGTCCTTTTGTACAATCCTTGCGAAAGTGATGTTTTATAATTACAAATAAAGAAACATCAAATAAGGCATTTTCAGGAAGAACTGCATTTCTAGTTATTTTATACTTTGCACTGATGATAGGGTCTCTTGTAGCTCCGTCGTGGTGGCACCGCTGCTGTATTGAAAACCTGCAAGAGAAAAGATAAAAACTTAGAAGGCACTGAAGCATACATTTTAGCGCAGCACATGAATAGACATTGTAATTGATGAGTTATGCCTTTTGTAAATGGTGATATGTATTTATCACTTATGTTAAATAATCCATCTGGATTCATTGTCGAACCACACAGCCTTGACTTCATGCTGCATTGAAAAAACAAAACAAAAAAATCTAACCCCTATACATCAGTTCAAATGGCTGCCAATTGATCAGTAATTGGAGAGAAGCTAGCTATCAGGAACAGAGGAATCAGCTGAGTAAGCTTCTATAAGGCAATATTGCAGAATAACCTTCTTTCACAATTCCAATGGCACCCAATGTAAGACTACGGCATGCAACAGTGGGTCTATTCCACAACTTTGTTTTACACAAAACTTCCTCGTTAAAATCCCTCTTCTTTAACTGAGAACTATTGAGGGCTCATGCTCAGAGGTGCAAAGTCATAGGCGTGTGCAGGGTTTCCCTACACTTCGGTGGCGGGGAGGTTCACCAAGGCACTCCCCCTTACTTAGTTAAGTAAGCTTTTAATTTTGAAGCCCCTGTCTCAGGTAACAAGTAGGGAGAGAGGGGAGCTGCCCCCCACTTCTATGCGCACGCCTATCTGCAAGGTGAAATTGAGTAACAAACAGGCACATGAAATGTAGAGCTACGTCTAGGTAATACAGCTACACAACTCTAGTGAAAACAATTAAAAAATTGTGCTTTTTGTAACCTACAGTATATTACACAGACATGCATGTTGTAACATGTTACAGGTCGTTTCTACACATCTTTCTACAAACAGATTGGAGGAAGCAAGCAAAACATTTTTTTACCCTTGATTACTTTTTCATAATATTCAATAGCTGAAAATACATTATTCATGTACCTTGAAGAGGTGAACACAGTTTCATAAAAAGGAAATATTTTTACCTAGCTCCATGCTCACAGTGCGCAATTGCCCATGTTCACTAGCCAGTATTGCAAGTTATGAAATTGGCCGCTGGTCATTAACAAGCACAAGAATCCACACTGGGGTGTGTTAGCACTTGCTGAACGTCTTGATAGGACAAGGCTAGGAACTCTTTTTAAAGAAAAATTTGAACAGCAGGAAAAACATGCACAATCAAAAGGGCGGCAACAAGAACTTGCACTACTTAGTGTCGTCTCCCTTTTCTCTGTTGATATTTTGCGGTACCTTAGAAAAGTTTCTAGGTAATGAATTACCAACTCGACCGAACACTTGCGTTAATCAAGTATTTAAGGAAAAAGCACATCGCAGTGTTTAACTCATGATTTTAGACCATGCAGATGACAAAAATATCACCTGAACCCACACGTCACAGAGATAATACAATTTACAGTCTATGTAGGAGCTCAGCGAGGAAATGAAATTTACACTCAGGAGTGAAAAGCATCATGAGTTAAGACGCTAACACAGAAAGAATAATTGATGCAGCAGTCCATGTATTTGCTTGCACTCCTGTTTCCTCCCAAGTATGTACCAACACGTCCAGTATGGTTAACATATATGTACAGTACTCACGGATTCAAACAGGACATTCGTAGCGCGTGGCCGCCAATGCATGTGCCGCCGCTCATGGGTGCTAGCGGAACCAGGATGTTGCACTGTTGTATAGAGTGAGGGCAAAAATAGCTATGGAGCAGGCTTACTGATTCCCATCGCTAAAGAGTTTGCATTTAGTTCACAAAGTGCACACTGCCAGCGTGGCGCTGCAAGGCTCGAGCATTTTTGCATGCATGCAGCCCGAATCATTGGGGACAGTGCGAACCATTTATATTATGACACAAGCAGACGACGCTCTAGATCGGCGCCCTTTGACGATGGGGCACGTAGGCTGTGCAAGTAAGAAATTGGATACCGCTAAGATGTCGCGCCTGAAATGCGCTCGTTGACATTATAAATAACTGCACAAAAGCATAAAAAGTTTTTCAAGCTTTTTGTCACGACGAAAAAGAAAAGCACCAGCCACGGGCCTGTTTCCATGCAGCATCAAAACAATGGCTTAGTACTTTGTTGTCTCGCCCCGAGCAATGAACAGTACGGCTATTCTGCGTGGCAAGCATTTGTAGAGCTGTCGGCTACGGAAGAACGAGCGATCTTCTCGCATTTTTATTCAACAATAGCCCACAGCTTGCCCTAACGATACTAATACATGATAGTATTTCCATGTTGCATGAAGGAAAGCATGCTACACATTTTTTTTTGTTGAGAGAGAAACCACGAAGTAAACTTTTGATGCTTTTGTGCAGATGTTTATCATGTCTACAAATGCACACAAGGCGCAGTCTACTAACTGAATCCTGCATCTTATTTGCACAGCATGCGTAATGCATTGCCCAAGCATGCAGAACGAGAGGGTCGTCTGCTGGCAAGGCAATAAAAGTGGTGCGCAGAGGCGAGCCAGTTTGGTCGACATGCGAATGTGCGTGAGCCTTGCAGCGCTGCCCTTGCAGTGTACACGTGGTGAGCTACAGGCCGACAATTTGGCAATCGAAAGAAGTAGTCCTGCTCCATAGGTCTTCCCCCTATCGCCCTATACGAAAACGCAACACATTGGTTCTATGTGCACCCACAAGCAATGGCACATGTACCACCGGCGACACACTCCGAGTGTCCTGTTTCAATCCGTGAGTACTGAACTTCCAAAAGAGCATGAATTCATTCAGCAGTTCGACTTTGCAGTCCAACAAGGCTATTCAAGGCACTATCACACAGATTACACTTCTCTGTATAATAGGCCTCCATGTCTTGTGAGCTGCGTTACATAAACACATTCATGGTATTTTCATAGATTGTAGTGGGAAGATGTTCCTAACAATGTGATGGAACATGAGTATGTGCTGCCTCCCAACAAAAGCTGTCCCTAACTCAGATGATCAAACTCTTAGGCATAACGATTATCTGAGAAGGCTTTGTTAGAAAGGAATAAATACTTGCATGTTGCATGATGTTACTTCAAACAAGATTGCACTACAACTTATAAAAATACCACAAATCTGCTCATACACGTGAAAATTTAAAGACGAGCTGAAACAACAGCCCCTGTAACTTCCTTAAACATGAATTCGCCAAATTATTGGGGCAGAATGTGCACATAGCAAAAGTGTGCTTATTTAAATTCATTAAATTTTTAGGCTTCAGGGTTGTTTGCTGTCTCTTTAAAAAGCACAAAAATGAATGACACTTCTACTTGTAAAAAAAAAAGATCTTAAAGAAATCTTTCATTTCCACTAAAAAACATTTAGGGTAAAAGCAATCATCACGACAATAAGCGAAATATGATCATAAGTAAGATTTCATTGCACACTGTTTCATGGCAGTTCAAACAAAATAGATATTGATGGAGGAAACTTGAAAAGACCAACAAATCCTATAAGAGGGAATGTCGCTGCAGCCAACTTTCTAACTTGTGTGTTATTTAGCACAATGTAACACAAAGGCCATGAGAGAGGACGCAGCACGTGCCCTAACTTTATATAAAATGGTTAATTGCAAGTGAAGCACTAAAAAATACAGGGTGAGCCTCACGCCGTCAATTTTTGTACTTCCGTTGCAATAACCCATTTTGTTTAAAAAGCACCAGTCTAATTCTTGTGTTACATTGAGCCAAATATTACCTAATGTTTAACAAACAATGCTGAATGTTTTCCCTTGTGCAACCCTTTAACAAGAACTCTTGCCTTGCTCAAAACAGCAGAGACAAGGAACAGCTGTTCCCATTATCAAGACGCCTCCAAGTGTTGCAACATTGGCTCTGACAACATTCCATGTTCAAGGATTACAAACCAAATGATGCATGTTCCATGTCCAAGGAATACTGCACTGAAGTGCAGAACATAGGCTTCCCACACCTAAGCTAAAAGACAGTGTATGCTATACCTCAATAGGTGCTATGCGTCCGAACTATCACTCTGTGGTAACAAAAAGAAATGCCTACCGCTTAAGGCTTGTCAGGGCTTGCAGGAAGACTGCTCCAATTGTGCACTGCAACCTGTCCTCTGTGCCAGGACCATGAACAGCTGCCATTGCTGATACATACATAAAAGATACCACAAAAGATTACTTTCACACACAACAAAGGTTATATCACACAGAGATAGCGAGTACCAAACATGTCTTAGCAAAGTGTATAGTGATACATTAAAGGGTAAATCCTTGAATAAAGGGATCATGGCACAACCAGAACAGACAATATTGGACTAGCCCCTTCTTGCTGACAATTGACCGAGTACCACTGAATGTTTCGCATCCACAAAACGATGTAATAACACTACGCAGAGCATGCACATGTGTATGGGTGATCTATATGATGAAAACAATATTTGCAAAGAGTGCATGGTTTATGCGCACATGGCATGTGTTAGAGGGAGCCATACATATTGTATTACATCATAAATGTGAGCTATTCAGGAAACAAACTGTTGGTACTCTGAAGCAAATTCCTATGTAGTTTGACTTTTGTTCACACAAGCTATCTCTAGCCCTTCGCAAAAATATTATTATTCTGAAACTTTCTGTCAACATCTGGAAACATATGAATAAGATCTTTTTGCTTCTAATTTACTGCCTCACAAAACAAAATATATACTAAATCCCTGAATGCTACACATAGGTTTACATCCTTGTCACACAAACAAGTAAGCGATATCAGTACTACACTTATGTAAAAAAGAAAGCACGAAAATACAACTTGAAGCACCACACAATCAAGCAACAATTATTATTTATGAGCACAGTGTAAGTTATTTGTGATGGAACACCTGGTATGCTTCAAGGAGAAAACAAAGATTTATATAGCTAAGGAAAGTTCTCACAAATATTGCAACAATGGGTGTCATGTATCAACTTAATTAACTCAATAGAATTCATATATTCTTCTACTAACACTCGATATTGACATATCTTCAGTGCAGTGATAGGAGTGTACTCTTAGTTTCAGCACATAGGGTATATTTCTAAAATACGTATTCTTCAAGTTAGCTTTCTTAAAATATTTATGAGGCAGCTAGGGTGAAATTCTAACCACAGAGAAATTACATGGATTTTTGGCACAAGGATTCGGAGCGCAGCCACGAAAACATCCTTCGTGTGTGCTTGACAGGGCTGTGCTTTTTTCTATCTGCGCGCCCAGTCGCGTGATTGTTTTGCGCGTAAAAACGCACAAACTATCGAGTTGGGTGAACGTGAACTGCTCTCGCGACACCAGTATGTTTAAAAGCAGACACACTTACAGGGCGACAAGGGATCAAAGGATAATCTAGTGCAGTAAACAGACAAGGAATAACATCACGACAAGAGGCTTGCATGACCGAAGGATAGATCACATAGCGCAACACGAATCTTTAAAACATGCAATCAACGGCCACAGCGACTGTTTCTTACGGTGATATAAAATACGCAGTGTCTATTCTGCCGGCGCCGGCCGAATATTTTGTGCATTATTCTGCCGGCGGTCGCCCCTCATTGGCTGCTCAAAGTCACATGACATCGGACAGCAAAATAAGGAGTTTCCCGTTCATTTGGCGCCAAGCCCCAGTGCGTCTCGGTTTGCTGTTCTGCATTTCTGTTGCCGCGTCCAGTATTCACTATACCGATAGTTTATGCACCTTTCAAGTGTGTTGTTCAACCCGTTTAAAGATGTCGGAACCGCCACAAGGGACTTCTGACCGGCCCCAATCACAAGGCGCCAGCGACGCCGTCGGCGATCGCTTTGCCTTTTTTGCAGCACTGGAGGAGAAGATGGAGAAGTTCAGCACAGCCAATTCGGTGCAACTGTGGAAGAGAGACGCGCGGACTATTGAAACGGCAAAAAAGCGCGTGGGAAAGATCGCGTCCAGGATGCCCCCAGAGCTCAAATACTACCACCTACGTTACTGCTGCATTCATGGTGGAACGAAGTTTGTAATCAGCAGCAAGGGTGTGCGAAAAGCATCGCAAGTCTTTTTAAAGTCATTCTTTTTGGAAGTGTGTAGCCTTACGTCGAAAATCAGCCGCGATAGGGGGAGGGAGTAGGTTTAGTGCATGCTGCTGTACGGGGGCACATCAATAGTTTGTGGTTTTATAGTGCCCATTGAAATCATGTTGGCGTTATTGTACATAAAAAGAACATACCAGCGTGCGGTGTTTTAGATCTCAGTAAAGCCCAAACGGGGAAACTCGTATCCTTGGTTTCAATCGCCCCCAGACGCTTTTATTGTCGCGATCGAGTGACCTGAAACCTCATCAGACTTATTGGTTTTATTCTTTTACTCCCCTCCCGTTTATCCAGAACCTTCAAAAAGGACTGTGGATTCAACATCTACATAGCTGCAAACAAAGACGGCAGCCATCTGGAGGCAAGATCGCTAAACCTCGAGCACAATCATGCAGTTGTACCAGAACTTTTCAAGCACCTACCCCAGCAAAGGCGACTTCCTTCTGAACTGCAAGACAAGGCTCGTGCTCTGTTGAAACTCAAAGCCAACAAGATATTGGTAAGGCAAAAGGTGCAAAAAGAAAGCGGAAACGCTGTCCTGTTGAAGGACCTTTCTAATATTTCAGCGAAGGGAAAAAATGCCCCACAAAGGAATAACTTGCCTGAGGTTGTCCGTGCCCTGCAGCAGGACCATCGTGCAATTGTTAGAGTCTTAAAAGATGAAAACAATGACTTGCAAGCTATCTACTTCAAAGATGACTACATGAAAAGGTCTTTTCATGTAGTTGGTTGTGTGGCAACTTCTTCAATGCCACAAACAACCGTGCAGAAAACATGAACTCGAAGCTCAAACAGCTTGTCGAACACTTCAGCTCCCTCGAGATGTTTGTGGAGAGGTTTTCCGCAATGATTTATGCTCAGCAAAATGAGAAGATGCACAAAGCAGCGCTTATGCTGCAGAAGCAAAGGGTGGTAACCAACGGTGATGAGGCGACAAAGCTTTACTTAAAGTTACTGACACCATATGCCTACAATTGTGTGAAAGAAGAGCTTGATGCAGCAGCAGTGATGACGAGCATTGATGCACTTGCCAATGCAAACAAATTTTTCGCCACAGCTCAAGAATGCACGTGTGCCTTCAGGCAAGTGATGCAACTGCCTTGCCGCCATATTTTTGCTGTGCGGGATAATCTAAACATCTCAAAGTTCAACAAAGCCATCTGTGCTGGGAGATGGTTTTTAAACATCTATGTACAAAGTTGTGGGCTGGCAGACAACAGTGAACACGACGTGGACAACCTGCCGCAAGTGAGCAGTCGGAAGGATGAAAAAGTCCTTTCAAGTCATCAAAAATTCAAAAAGGCAGCTTCCATTGCTTCAAAGTTGGCTGACCTTGCATTAGACTGCTCGACAGCGAGATTCAAGGAGAGGCTGAAGGTACTGGAGAGCATACTCCAACCTTGGAAGGATGGGGCTGAAGTTGCTGTGAGTGTGTTAACACCGTCGGAAAGGAGGGAAAGAACAGACAGTCCTTTGAATGCAAGTGAACATCTTCCCAGCACAGGAGCAATGGTTGAAGACTTGCCTCTTCAAAAAAAGCAGCCTCTATCCAACATCCAGACGCCCTGTGCTCGATGCACATTCAGTGAAGTGGATCTACAAAGCACATGCCCTTTAGACATGGAGAGCCAAGCTGCTGGCGGTGAAGCCTTGGAGGACTATGCAGAGCTAAGTCATCTCAGCAAACATAACTGTACATCTGGGAGTGTATTGCAGGAAAAGAGTGCGTCTGCCAAGATGACGGCAAACGACTCTCTGACACCCTGGCTAACATAAAGGTGCCAGTAACGACAAAAAGGTGTGGACGACCAAAAGGCCACATGGTTACCGTTTATTGGCTACCAAGGAAACGCAAGAGGGCACCCACTGAGAGGCCATATGCAGAGCTTCCTGTGAAGGAAAAGAAACTAAAGCTGCTCACGTGGCTTACAGGAGCGCACAATGCAGCAGAAGCAATGAGAGGAAAGCTGCTTGAGGAGGACGCAGTTGAATAACGGCCAGAGCTTGTTCATAACTGCATTCGAGATGAGAACGTCGACATAAATGTAGTGCGACGATTTTTCAGCGATGATGCTTGGGAAGCAGTAAAAATGGTTGTAGACATAAAAAAACAAGAAAGCTGGAATTGCAATGAGTGCAACTAAAATTTGGAAGACAACGACTGTGCGACTATTGTCTGACGTGGAGTCACCTGCCGTGCGTTGGCCTGCAGAAAAAACCAAAAACCAAGTTGTGGAAGTGCAGAGTGTGTAGTGATGTAGGACTTGGTAGTAGCCTTCCGTAATCAAAAGTGTTTTTAAGATGTATTTTTAACCAATGTCAATGTAGTTTGATGTCTCTAAATGAATGTTTGTGTATCATATTTGAAAATAAACAGGCACAAGTGTGTTAATACAATTTGACTCCTCGTTTGCATGATGTTTGAAAAGAAACCTTATTTATTAGTTTTACATCAAGGTTCCATTAAGCTGCTAGATACCAAATGATTTGACACAATCCTACAGGCTTGCATGTTTATAAATTGAGATGGCACCTATAACGAGAGCATGCACAGCTGTCCAGGGCCCATAAGTAGTAGTAGTGCCACAGTGGGTATTTGGTAATGCAATGACCTTGTACTGTGAAGGACGACGACCAGCGAAGCTTGGTGCACTCTAAGAAGTGCATAGCGTTTTGTTTGTTTACAAACGTGTACAAAACACCTTTGTTTTTAATTTGCGGAGCAAATGCGCTGAGTAAAACCCGGAAGGACTCGAGCGGACGAACGCGAGGTTGTCCGTTTTTCTCCATCATCGGGGACCGTCTGCTAACACAACTTAAATTGGCCGACCAGAGAAGACAGCAGAAAGTTGCATCGGGCGGGAGATGCCTACGTTATCAGCACTTGCGTGAAGCGTGGCTGTGCGTGCAAGCCCCCTCAACGCACATACTACACACGCCCGTACTGGCGGCGACGGCATAATAAAAGTACTTATAAGTGATTCAAATGAAGAAAGGGAAAGGAAGTGCACTGGGGATATTATTGAACACAGTGGCGGCGACGGCATAATAAAAACTCCTTGTTTTGCCATCAGAAGTACGTAATGTGAGCAGCCAATGAGGGGCGACCGCCGGCAGAATAAAGAAAAAAATATTCGACCAGCGCCGGCAGAATAGACAGAGCCCCTATTTTGCTGTCCGATGTCATGTGACTTTGAGCAGTTAATGAGGGCCGACCACCGGCAGAATGAAAAAAAATATTCGGCCGGCGCCAGCAGAATAGACACTGCCTATAAAATAAGCCACCTCAAAACATACCTGCCTATCGGGACTCTGGTTTGTCATCCTCGCTGTGTCAACAAGCCGCCCGGGCCACCGCTTCCTGCATACCATTTGTCACACAATGAAGCAACCCAGTTACGTAGTTCAGCGACTTTCTTCAACTTACCGAAGTTTTGACATTGGCCGAGCACTCTTCAGTCGCCCGTCAAAAAGCTCACGCTCTCGCATAACATCAGTCACTTGTTGTCACAGCAGGGGTCGTGGATTGTCCTCGAAACTACACTCGACATTGAATCACGCGAACAACACGAGTAATCGATAAATGGAGGAAGAAATCACTTTTCAGAGCGAACACAAGGCGCGCGTCCGATGTGGCTGCTTGGAGCAGACACGTACGGCGAGTCATCGTCCGCCACGCAATCAAAGCAGCAGAACTTTCCGACACGCGGAAACTGTCCCGTAGACGAATTTTAAAGAAGGATATGTATACAATGCACGCAATATCTATCAACACGGCAATTATGTATCCGCGGACTTCCAGCACATGTTCTTGCGTGAAGCTGGTAGTGAGCCTTCAGTACAACGAGGCCTGTTGCAATTGCTGATTTACAGGCTTAAAAAGATAAGTGTGCAGGTGACAGCACTAACGTTTCACTATAGAAATAATTTACAATAACAATCAACTTTTCAAAGCCAAATGAAGCTTTCTTGTTTATTAGTTTGCAATATATGTAGGTATGCAGCTGTTTGTATTTTGTTTTGCATAACAAACAAGGTTTCCCAACTCATGTCAAAAGCGATGGTAATCTCTGAGTCTCTGTAACACAAGGCCAATAGTTACAGATCTCAGAGGCAATGCTTTTGCAGCTGCGGCTTTGTTCGTGTGCAGAAAAGAATGAGTGGCATGCATTCCTGCTCTACATAGAAGAAAGGTATCTGACCGGGTGTCCGTTCCTTTACGTCTCGACGCAGTGGCGTAGCAAGGGGCTGTCACACCGAGTCCGTTACCCCTTTCTGCCCTCCCCCTCCCCGCACCTTTCGGGCGAATTTTTTATTTTTTTTTCGGCGTGGCATATATAGAGCAAAATGACTGTTTGCCTGCTCCCCCCCCCCCCCCCCCCCCGAGATCAACGAGGATTCCTTTCCTTACCCTCCCTTGTTTTTTGTTTTTTTTTACCTACGCCGCTGTCTCTGCGTGACAGCTAGCGTTGTGACAGCAAAACAGTGGCGGGGTGAGAGTAATGAATGCTCATTGAAACTTATCTCTCCCTCTCCATCACGCCTTCGCTCTCCACCACCTACCAGTGGCGGGGAGGAGGCAGAGGGGCACACATTCGGCAGCTGCCGCTCCCAGCCGTATATTTTTTGTTGTGAAAGTGTGACTGATATTTAAATACGCTTTCAAATGCTCACTACAACGATACGATGATTTTATCTCCTGTGTTGCCCTCGGTGTCCACTGAGCCTCGCCGCGGTGGTCTAGTGCCTAAGGTACTCGGCTGCTAACCCGCAGGTCGCGGGATTGAATCCCGGCTGCGGCGGCTGGATTTTCGATGTAGGCGGAAATGTTGTAGGCCCGTGTGCTCAGATTTGGTTAAAGAACCCCAGGTGGTCGAAATTTCCGGAGCCCTTCACTACGGCGTCTCTCATAATCATAACGTGGTTCTAAGACGTTAAACCCCACAAATCAATCAATCATCGGTGTCCACTGATCGGGTAATTTAACCATCCCACTCCATGCCAATGGCAAATTGGCGCGTCTATGCAACTGTTTGGGGTACAGCTTCAGCGTTAGTGATCGACGCTATGCTTTTTAGTTTTAAACACATATTCAAAATGTATGCACGCAAGGTGGTGGAAAGCACCCCTGAATGCCCCAGCAAAGTTTGCCTTCACGTCGCGCTTCTGGCACGAATATCCAATCAATAATAATAATAATAATAATAATAATAATAATAATAATAATAATAATAATAATAATAATAATAATAATAATAATAATAATAATAATAATAATAATAATAATAATAATAATAATAATAATAATAATAATAATAATAATAATAATAATAATAATAATTATAATAATAACAATAATAATAATAATAATAATAATAATAATAATAATAATAATTGTTCTTGTTTTAGATGCGCCTGTACAACCTTATAATTGTTTCTGGGCACGCTACACGAATAAGTAAATAATAAATCATTGATTAATAATGAAATCACAACTTTGATGCATCATTAAATGTAAAATTTCACCGTTGGCTGCGTCTCGCATCCTGCAATGTAGGCAACAATAGATGCATGCAAAAAATAATCACCACGAGATGACGTGTCATTATAGCGTCACATGATAAAGTCATATTACATCGCACCCAATCCTGGCTGGCTGGCTGATTGCCTACGCAAAACGGCGTTTTAAACGGGGAGGCAATGCATAACCACATTAGTTGCAGAAAGTTTTCGAAGGGTGGCAGGATGAACACATCGACTTATTGGAAAAAAGAAAGAGATGGCTATCGCCTTCGAGTTGTCTTACGTGAATGCAAAAGAGACCCTGGATTATTATTATTATTATTATTATTATTATTATTATTATTATTATTATTATTATTATTATTATTATTATTATTATTATTAAGATTGTGTAGCTGATTTACACATTGTCTTCATGTCAATGTTATATTTACTGAAACATGATCGAAAATCTATGGGAATACAAACTGTTTAGTGTTTTAGATTTCCGATAGACAACATGTACGTGAATGTCGAGATCAGCAAGTAATTGAAATAGACTTAGGTGCACGTTAAGAAATCACTAATCATCGAAATTTCTGAAGCACTCCGCTACGGCGTTCTTCATTATCATATAGTGGTTTTGGGATCTAGAATTTCCGCGATTATTACATTTAGTGGTAAGAAATTGAGTTGGCTCTAAAAGATTAACGAAAATTTTTTTCATTGTGATGTGTTTTGACATTAGGACATGCACTGGAAAGTCTGCGTACTTTGATCATCAGAAATCCTGGTGCATGTTGTCATCTGAGTCTCTATTGCACACCTGATGCTAAAAGACATAAGGCTTTGCAGGTCTAATGTCAATCTAGTGACTCATTGGATGTGCATTAGCTGCACATTAGACTCTCAAAATTCATTTTCATAAAGGTTGCCCCACAACTATTGATCGACATGAGCAGAAAGATGGTTAGAGTACACACTTTTGGGCTAAGAAGACTGCCCACTTGTGAATGCTCTCATATGTTTCTACTGCTGTTTATTTCTCCCTGTCCGCAAATACTTCACAGAGAGTGGTACAAGCACATGAATGGCTCAACATCGTTATATTACTCAAAATATTTATTAAATGCTCATGAATCCATGAGTCCAACTGCTAAAGAAGCCGACACAAAACCTATCAACGGTTTTTTTGTTAAATTTACGCTTCGAAGGAGAAACTGTCCGTCAATGCCGAAAAAAGATCACCACAGCAATGCACAGCTTACTGTGCACACGTAGTTTTTATGCAACTAATTTTCAGAGATTAGTGACGTTGCCTTTCACGCAGGCGACCTTACGGAACGTAAACTTTATTTGTCATTACGGAAGAATCATCTAAGTGAGGTGGCCCGCAAAACAACAACAAAGGAGAAACTAAAGCGAAATCCGCGCAAACTATCAACTCTTATTTTATTTAAAAAACTAAACAAGGTATTGCTGGTTATATGAATACAAAAATACATGAGCAAACAGAGATAATTTGGGTGGCGCACTTTCGAGAAGTTCTAATTTTTGGCAAGTAGCGAGACCAAAGATTTCATGACGAAAAATTCACCTGCTTTGTAAATGCGACACGCTTCTTCAATTTTCCGCGCTACTTAAAAAAATTATTCATGTTAGACTAACAAAAACTTTCGACAAACATTCCAATATAACTCAATCACAATATGGTTTCAGATCAAAGTTCTCTACCGAAAGAGCTGTATTGTTCCAAAAGGAATTGATTCTCAAAAATATCGAGGCCAAAAAGTTCACACTATATAGGAATATTTTTAGACATGTCGAAATCATTGGACAAAATAAACCACCAGACATTGTTAAGAAAACTGCAGTATTAGGAAATTCGTGGTGTAGCCGTAATTTTGATCGAAAGCTACCTAACAGACAGACACCATTGTGTGTATTTGAATAGAGAAATTTCTTCTGTGCAAACTGCTAAAGATGGTGTTCCCCAAGGCAGCATATGGGGTCCCTTCTGTTCATCATATTTATAAACGATATTGTACATGTTGACCCTTCAGCCCAATACATAATCTACGCAGACGACACAAGCATATTTTTTTTTATGTACGAATGTTGGCCATCTCGTAAATACAGCTAACTTGACATTACAAAAAATACAGCTGGACCTTTACAATATTAGTGAACTTCACAGTTAAAAATTTGTACAGTGATTATTATAAAGAGTCGTTTGAAATAGTTATGTGAACTACGCGATTTGTTTATAAAATGAAATACAAGGGGATGCAGAATTAAGACGTGTTCTGTGTACAGTCATGTTATTTACAATGCTGAAATGAGACTACAGTTTGCACATGTAACGGTCAGTCCTAAAAGAGCTTAAATCTGGCAGGCCTCGAGGAAGCATTTCGACAGTTTTTCTGATTTGCATTGGAGGCATCGAAACACTGATAACATGGCTGCAATTTACAATTCACGTACACGATAACAGCTTATTTTTTGTGAAAAAATAAGTGCAAAGTTGTCAACAAGAGCTAATGTGAGCCAAATTGGTGTATATTTTGTGAATTAAAACCACATTCAAATACCATGCCAAAACTTAGGCCGTATTGTTTCGTCTTGTATTGACTTGTATAGGGCTAAATAAAACTGAGATGGCAAACGCGCATACAGGGGAGGCTCTCAATTAAAGGTTTATTAGGCACAAGAATAAGGTGCATGCGTACGCGATCGCGGTTATGTATATCCCTCTGGTGTATGGCGGCATTTTCATCAGACGATGTAGAAGGTCTGCCAATGTGAAATAATAAAGGCGCCACATAAAATGCGAACGTAATGACCGATTATCGAGACTGGCAGCACACCGGACAAAGCAATATTTAAATTACAATGACATAATTGTTCCAGTAATCCACCTATAGGACGTCAGTGCTCAACCCTTTTGAACAATATTTTTCATGTACAATTTCTCATGAACTACAAAGATTACTCGTCCTGTATGACGAAGTGAAAGCCGATATATATATATATATATATATATATATATATATATATATATATATATATATATATATATATATATATAAATTTACCACAAGAAGTAGTGGGATCAGGTCATAAAGCGGTAGAGGGTCTCTGCTTGGAAGAAAAGACTACGAAGTGGATAATGACTGGTCCCGATCATTTTTTTTTCAAAGGAACGTTATTATTGTTCCTATCTAATTTCTCTTTATTTTTTATTATTTCTTTAGCAAGCGTTGTAAAAAATGATCTATTATGAGGTACATTGTGGCCAATCCCTCATGTGGGGTATGGGCCAAGAT